ATAAATTCCAATGTGATAAACAGCTTTCTAATAAATTAAATTGGAAATAATTTTATGTTAAATTTCCCATTAACATGTTCATTGATCAAGAAAAATCAGTTGAAGGTCACATTTAAAAAAATGTTTAAGTGACACATCTATCAAAGTTAAGTATTAGGAAATGCAATTTTAATCACTATAAAAAAGTACACAAATAATCAGTTCAAAAAACGAATGTGATTCAGAAAGAGAGAAGGCAGAGAAGAGGAGAGACAAAGGAATAGAGAAAGGAAACATGCAGAGAGATTGCAAGCGGTCAAGAGCGGTCAGAGGAGGAGAGAGGACCTGTGGGTTGGCGTGGGTGTTAGACTTAGGTAGGTGCAGACTTTTTTTATTGCTATTGTGAGATTTGTTGAGATATAATCCATACACCATAAAGTTCACTCTTTCCAAGTGCACAGTTTGTGTCTTTGAATGCTCATAGTGTTATGCAATCATCACCACTACCTATTTTTAGATTATAAAAGAAACCACATACCCATTAGCAATTATACTCCATTCCCCTCCCTTTCCCCTGACACTCCACCCTACCCTAGATAATCATTATTCTACTTCCTGGTTCTATAGATTTACCACGTTTGGACATTACATATAAATGAAGTCATGTAATACATGGCTTTTATGCTCATTTTTTCACTTAATACAGTGTTTTTGAGATACACCCATATTGTAGTATCCATCATTCATTCATTTTTATTGCCAAATAATATTCCATTGTACAAATTCACCACATTTTATTGATCTATTCATGAGTTGAGGCTATTTGGATTGTTTCCACTTTTTTGGCAGTTATGAATAAAGCTGCCATGGACACCCATGGGCAACTTTTTGTGTGGGTATATGTTATCCCTTATCTTGGGTGTATACCCAGGAGTAGAATTGCAGAATCATATAGTAATTCCATGATTAACCATTTGAGGCACTGCTAAACTGTTTTTCAAAGTGACTGTACATTTTCATCTCATCAACGGTGTGTGAGGGTTCCAATTTCTCCACGTCATTGTCAACATTTCTTATCTATCTTTTTGATTATAGCCATTCCTGTGGGTGTGAAGTGACATGTTATTGTGGTTTGGATTTACATTTCCCTGTTGACTAATGACATGGAACATCTTTGCATGTGCTTGTTGACCATTTACATATCTTTGGGGAAATGTCTATCCAGATATTTTGTCTATTTTTCAATTGGGTTGTTTATCTTTTTATTACTGATTTATAAGAGTTTTTTCATATATTCAGGAAATAAGTAAAAGTCGCATTTCAGGTATATGATTCGAAAATTATTTCCTGTGTTTTTGTGGTTTTTTTTTTCACATTTTTGATAGTAAACTTTGAAGCACAAAAGTTTATAGGTTTGTCATAGTCCAGTTTATTTGTTTTTATTTGTTTAATTTTTAAAAAGATTTTATTTATGTATTTGACACACAGAGAGAGCACAAACAGAGGGAGTGACAGGCAGAGGGAGAGGGAGGAGCAGGGTTCCCTGATAAGCAGGGTCCATCCCAGGACCCTGGGATCATGACCTGAACTGAAGGCTGAAGCTTAACCATCTGAGCCACCCAGGCACCCCCATTTGTTTTTTATTTTGTTGCTTGAGCTTTTGGTGTTATATTTGAAAAAGCCACTGCCAAGAGCATGAGGATTTACTCTTACACTTTTGTCTAAGAATTTCATACTTCAAGCACTTTTATTCAGGTCTATGATTCATTTTGAGTTAGTTTTTGTGCGTATTGTGAGGTAGGGGGTTAACATCATTCTTTTACATGTGGATATCCAGTTGTTCCAGCGTCATTTGTTGAAAAGACTCTCCTTTCCCCCATTGAATGGTCTTGGCACAATAAAAAAAAGTTAGCTGACTATACAAGGGGTTTATATCTGGACTCTTACTTCTATTCCATTGATCTATGTGTGTGCATTTATACCAGTACCATATATCTTAATTACTGTAGTTTTATAACAAGTATTGGAATTGGGAACCGAAAGTCCTCTTACTTTGTTTGTCCTTTTCTGTGTTGGGTTTGTTCTGACTATTTGCAATCTCTTGTAATTCCATATGAGTTCAAGTTTTGGCTTTCCTATTTCTGCAAATAAGCCAGCTGGCATTTGATAGGAATTGCGTTGAATCTGCAGATCAGTTTTTTAGGGGGTGGTGCCATCTTAACAAAGTTGTCTTCCCAGTTTATGATCTGAGATGTCTTTCTACTTGTTTAGGAGTCTTCTTTAATTTCTTTAATAATGTTTTGTAGTTTTAGTTACATTTTTTACATCTTTTATGAAATTTATGCATAGGTATTCAATTCTTTTTTTTTATGCTATTGTAAAAGTAATAGTTTTCTTTATTTTATTTTCAGGTGAACATTATTATCAATGAACATGGATAGTGTATAGAAATAGGATTGATCTTTCTATATTGATCTTAAGTCTTGCAACCTTGCTGAACTTATTAGTTTTTTTTAGTGGATTCTTTAATATTTTCTATATATAAGATCATGTCATCTGCAAATAAGATAGTTACTTCTTCTTTTCCAGTCTGGGTGACTTCCCCTTCTCTTGTCTAGTTGTCCTGGGCTAGAATCTCCAGTACAATGTTGAATAGAACTGGTGAGAATGGACATCCCTATCTGGGGCTGGATCTCAAGAGGAAAGCATTCAGTTGTTCAGTAAGTATGAGATTAGCTATGGAATTTTTCATGGATGACCTTTATCAGGTTGAAGAAGTTCTTTCCTCTTCCCAGTTTTTTGAGTGTTTTTATTATAATAGGTGTTAGGTTTTGTCAAATGCTTTTCATAATTTTTTATTCAGTTAATATTATTATATTTCCTAGGCTAAATCCCAATTGGTTATGATACACAATCCTTTTTATATGTTTCTGGCTACCATTTACTAATATTTTATTGAGTAATTTTGTGTGTAGTATACTGTACTGATAAGAGATATTGGCCAGTAGTTTTATTTTCCTGTGATGTCTTTATCTTACTTTAATATCAATATAAATCTGTTCTCAAAGAATGAGCTAGAAAATTTTCCCTCCTCTTTTACTTACTGGAAAAGTTTGCCATGAAATTGGTTTTTAATTTATTTTTCAATATTTGGTAAAATTTACTATGAAGTTGTATAGGTCTGGGCTTTTCTTTATGGAAATACTTTTAGTTACTAATGTAATGTCTTTGTCATGGAGATTTTAAACTTTCTGTTTTCTTGAGTTAGTTTCCAGAATTTGTAACTTTCTACTAATTTGTCCCTTTCCTCTATACTATCTAACTTGTTGGCATATGGTTGTTCATAGACCTCTTTACTTCTTACAGTTTATAATGATGACCCTTCTTTCATTCCCTACACTCCTATGTCTGCTTTGTCTTGGTTAGTGTAGTTAAAGCTTGCTAATGTTGACCTCTTCAAAGAACCAATTTTGAGTTCCGGTGATTTCCTCTATTGTTTTGTTCTTTCTTATTTCACGTATCCCTGCTGTAAATTTCCCTCTGAGCAGTACTTTCGCTGCAGCACATGAATTTTGGTATGCTGTGTTTTTGTTTTCACTCATTTTGAGGTATTTTCTACTTTCCTTATGATTTCTTTGATGTATTTGTTATATAGGAATATATCATTCAATATCCACATATTATTGTAAATTTCCCAAAGTTCCTTCTGTTATATTCTAATTTAATTCCATTGTGGTTTTGAAAGCATATTTGGTATGATTTCCATCCTTTTTAAAATTTATTAAGAATTGTTCTATGATCTAGTATATGATTTATCTTGGAGAATGTTCTATGTGCACTTGAAAAGGATGCCTGTTCTGTGTTCTGTTGTAGGGTGTTCTGTAGATGTCTATTAGATCTAGTGTTGTTTGTGAGTTTTCTGTCTGGTTTTTCTGTTCATTTCTGGAAATGTGGTGTTGAAGTATTGACTTTTATTATTGAATTATTTATTCCTCCATTTGATTCTGTCAATTTTGCTTCATATAGTTTTGGGTGCTATTGTTAGGTGTATGTCATATGGTCATAATTCTGGTATCCTCTTGATGGATTGATCCTTTACAATTATGGAACTCCCTCTTTATCTCTAGTAACATTTTATTAGTTTAAAATCGGTTTTGCCAGATATAGAAACTCCAGTTTTCTTTTGTGTACTGCTTACATGGTACATCTTTTTTTGACCTATTTACTTTTGACATATCTGTGTTTAGTGAATAGTTTTTGTTTAATGATTTCAGTGTTTTTAAGTTTTTTTTAATAAATCATACATTGTAAGTCATTCTTTTTCTTTATGTACAGTTCTAGGAATTTTAACATATGTGTAGTTACGTGTAACCATGCCTATGATAGGATAGAAAAAAATTACATTATCTCCAGAACTCCCCTCTTGCAAACCTAATTCCTAGCATAGAATGATATTCTCCCTTGTGGTGAGTTCTCATTATACCATCATAGGTTAGGGATTCATATTACATTATGATCATTATCACTATTATTTGACCATGATTTTGTTGATTGTCTTTTTTTCTTCAACTCTTCTGAGGCTTTGTGTTGAGCTATGTAACTACCTTAGCACACAGAGTTAAGGACAGGTGGGGATTATTTTCTGGGCTACAATATTGATTAGAGTCATTCAAACGTAGAAGATTCTTAGAAGAATTGACATGACATCAAAATGAAGCTGAGACTTGAGTCTTATTTGAGGGCTGGTATTTTCCACCAACATTGGGAACACTACTACAACATTGTCATATTACCTAATCTGAATGGTAGCCTAGAAATTCCAGGTCTTTGGTGATAGCTGAGCAATTATAAATGCATCCCTAAGTATGCCTGGCATCCTGTCTCATCCTCCTGTTCCCAGTTGACTCTGGAAAGCAAATAGAGGGTAACAATAGAGTCCTGTAATGTTCCTGTGTAGGGCTGACCTTTGTATCATTGTTAATCCTTGTCCTCTCTTTTCGGAGACAAGAGATTAAATTAAAACTGCATGAAACCCTTTTCTGAGTCACAGGGATAGGCTGCTTTCCCTCTTTGAAAACCCAAAGGATTTAACAGGATTTTCCCCTTCTCAAACACCACCCCCCTCACCCTGACCTTAACAGCTTCCCAATGTTAGGGAAAGGCAGGAAGTTTTCCCTGTGGTTTTTCTTTGTGACGACATGATGGGACAGGTTGATCAATGGGGGAAAACCCATGTCAGAACACGCCTTCTGTGTACATTCCCAATATTTGCTATAAGAAGGGCCATCCCAGACCCAGGCTACTATCAGAACCTAGCATTACTCCCAGAGCCCTCGGTACTCAGCACTGAGAAGATCTATTCTTTGAGCTGAAAATGATGTGCAGTAGCAAGAATTTGCTCCTGGCTGCTTTGATGTCAGTGCTGCTACTCCACCTCTGCAGCAAGTCAGAAGGTAAGTATCAGTCTTTCTGCTGACACAGGAGGAAGAACTGTTTTCATTCTCCTTGAAACCTTAAGCTCCCCTGGGAGTCCCCAAGGAAAGGGAGCCTGTAAGAAAGTCTTGAGAAGTGATAGGAGTTGTCACTCATTGGTGAGTGAGGGGGGAACGGTTACTGCTGCTGATCAGGCTTTTTTTTTTTTTTCTTTGCTCTCAATCCCAGCAGATATTTGGGTGTCTGGGTTCTTAGAGACCCCCAAGCTCCACAACAGGGCTAAGGTGTTATTTTTGGGAGTGATATAAATTGTGTTATATTACCAGTGAATGGGGTCATTCTGAAATGTAGGAAACACTCCCACTCTTCCGACTTTTTCACCTCCCACCTAAATAGTTTAAGTTCAAAACTCAACCTTTAGAGGCAGATTATGGCATCTGACTTCTCCATCCTTACATAGCTTTGGGCCCTTTCTTGTCAACTTAGAGATAATTTATCCCTTACCTTACAGCAGGTTATAATTTAACCTGGGGGAGTGTCTGAGTATTGCTTTATGACTGTGAGAGTACATCCCTTTTAGCAACAGGTGCATTCCTGAAAATGCACGTGTTGAACTTTTATGACCAAAATATTTCCATAATATCACAATTTCAAAGTGCTTTTGAAGCTCCTATAAATTGCATTTTCCTTTGTAACTTCTTATCATTTCCCTTCTCTCAATGCTCGGAGCTAAGTAATAGATTAAAAGCTCCATATTTATTCATTTTCTGAATGTGGAAGGTTCTCTGTAAGAGTTTCTTCAAGTGGGAGATAGTCATATTCTTGAGTGATTATAATGAACTTAAATGAAACACTATCAGTTTGTGTTTCTCACTAGAGATATTCCTTTTGTTAGAAGTCATGGGCTTCTAAACTGTATTATTAAACCAAAATCACCCAGTAAATAAGCTCCTTCCCTCTTTTTTTTTTTTTTAAGAGAGCTGGAAACTACATGAAATCATATCTCAAAGACATTGCAACTGTTTCTCTAAATAGTTTCTTTACCATATACAACTACAACTTTGAGTATTTCCATAATACCTACTACAGAATAAACTCAATCACGTTTACTCAATACCTTTAATTTCTTTTCAGCAGCAAGCAACTTTGATTGCTGTCTTCGATATACAGAACATATCCTTCATCCCAAATATATTGTGGGCTTCACACAGCAATTGGCCAATGAAGCTTGTGACATCAATGCTGTCATGTAAGTTATTCAATTGTGTCAGGAGTATGTGGGAATTTCAAATTAAAAAAAATTTTTTTTGCCTTTCTGGAATTTCAGAAATAACTGATGTGGCAATGCTATGTTTGTTTTGATAGTACATATGTATTCCAAAGTTTAAATAGGACTAGAATAAGGCAGAAGTTTAGTATTTCTTTTTTTTTTTAAAGAACAGAGTTGAGGGCCAAATCACTTTTTAAGATACACTTATAAACTACTTACATGCCATTTCAGGAAAACATGGGAGACATAAATTTTAAAATGAGCATCTTCTACCAGAGAATGGTTGGGGCTGTAAGTAAAAACTCAAGAGTTATTATGCTTTCACATGTAATAATCTTGATCCATATAGGATATTATACTTCAGAGTGGTATAGGTTATTGGTTGGATATACACGTATTTTGTGTTACCACCAGCAAGAAAATTAAATAACAATTATGAGACTTATTTTCCAGTTATCTCACAGCTAATTATTAAAATACAGAGGAAGTAGGAAAGAATCACTTTTATTTCCTGCATCAAGCTTTATTAGAAACATTTTTTTTTTTGTATTTTGTTTCACCTCTGAAACAAATAAAATGCTTGATGGGTAGAGCAGTCCATTGGAATACAAAATTTCCATTGCATGTTCTGTGAAATAGCAATTCAAAACTCTTTAAGCACAAATCAAATTTTCTGTGTGTTTTTTTTTTTAAGCTTTTACACAAAGAGAAAATTGGCTGTGTGTGCAGATCCAAAGAAGAACTGGGTGAAAAAGGCTGTGCAAATCCTCAGGTATGGGACATTTACCATCAGACCCTCTTCAAATGTCTGGGGCAAAGGTCATGTGCAGAGTGGTGGACCATAGGCTTGCTGGGACCTTTTAACCTAAACACTATAGCATTTTATTTATTTAATTTATTTTTAAAGATTTATTTATTTATTTTAGAGAGAAAAGAGTGGGGGGAGGAGAGAGAATCTTGAGCAGACTCTGTGCTGAGCACGGAGCCCGATGCGGGGCTTGATCTTACCACCCTGGAATCACGACCTGAGCAGAACTCCAGAGTTGGTTGCTTAACCAACTGAGCCACCCCAGGTGCCCCAGCAGCGTAGAATTTTAAAGGGGAAATTTGAGTCGGACTATGAAAAGAAAAATTCATTTTTTCCACTTACACATCATTTTTATCTTTTTTAAAATTCAGTGATTTTTCCATTATGTGTAAGAGTCTCCTATGCATTAGATAGTTGCTAGCAGCTTGACTTTTTTTTTGCAAATATGACTCCTATGTATATAATTCACAAACTACATAACATTTTGTTAAAAACTGAAAAATAAAGAGTCAAAAGAGATCAATGGTTGTGATTTACAGTGGTGTTACATTTTATTTTATCAATATGAACAGAAGTCACCTAACACAAAAGTGCAATAGACACTGAATTTAAAGACACAACCCAGGCGTTGAGTCCTGTATCTGTCATTAGCTAGCTGAGTTATGTTGGGCAAAGCCCTTCCTCTCTGAACATTGATTTGTCCCTCTGGACTCTTGAGCTGCTGACGTCCTGAGATGAGATTAGGAAACAAGAGGCAATCTTTAGGTATAAAATCTATTCCTCCCAGCCAGTCGCCCTGTCATTGCTTAGTTTTTTCTTCTTTTTCTCTTTACAGCCACAGAGTCAAGAAGATGTAAAACAGATGCTTTCTAGAATGGAATTGTACAGAGCCTATGAACAAAAAGAATCTAGCAGGAGTTGGTTTTTGAGAGTGTAGCACATACCTGATTTGTGCTTCATTGGACTTGTCCAATTAATGAAGTTGATACATATTGCATCATAGTTTGCTTTGTTAAGCATCACATTAGAACCAAACTATTTTATTTTATTTATATATATATACATATATGTATCTATATGTGTCTTTTTGTGTGTGTTTTTACTATTTAATACTAATTTTCTATAAGCTATTTGGTTTAGTACAAGGTATAATGTTATGTTCAGAGAAATGAGGTTATATGGACTTTCTTGTAAGCAGCAAGCTCTTTGTAAAAAATCTATTTAACGTTTTTCTTCTACATTGTTTTGTTTCCAAAACCGTTGTAATTATCCTGTAAAAAAGAAAAATTATGATAAAAATAAATACTGAAAATTAAAGAATGAACTAAAATTGCTTGTTAATAGAGTTATATAGCACTTCTAAGATATAAATTAAAAATTTTAAAAATATTTAAAGGGATAGTAAATCTAAAAATTGGAGCAAAGTGTCATATTTCCCCATTCACTTCTGCCTGGATGTTCCCCTTCCCCTGTTCCTCATGGTCCTGGTTTTTATTCTATATGAATTATAATGGAAAGGGTCTTTTTTTTTTAGATTCAAAGTCCTCCAAACCAAAAATTAGAAAATCCATAGCTCCATTAGAAATCCATAGTTCCATGCTTATCAGTATAAAACTTTTCAAAATAAAGAGTACCTATATACTTCAGGGACATAATAACCACAGAGAAAATGTCTTCAGAAATTCTTTTGTCCATCCATCATGGTCACCAGAGAGGGACCTAGGAATGGGCAACTCAGCACAGAAACATTTCTCTATTTCATAAGTCCTCTGGAGTCATCCTTAAACAGTTTCCAAAAAGAAAATGACAAAGCAGAGGGTTCTAGGAACTTTTTGCCTCACTAAGTGGAGGAGAGACTTGAGGTATGTGAAACTTAGCAAGAACCCAGACAAAAGATGAAAGGGTCCTCAACCAAGGGAGTCACTATCACAGTGTTCAAGTAGCAAAGTCTGTGACTTGAAACAGCACTCAGGACTGTCTGTCTTAGACTCCAAAGACCATGAACGATCATTGGAGGCAGGCACACTGATGATATGATGCCAAATCCAGACACACAAACCCATAAAGCAGGGCAATGGTGGGTCGTTGGTACAGAGCCAAGAGCTGTAAATGGCCAATTTAGCTTGGAAGTTGTCTCTCTGCCCAGGAATAAGAACACTGAGTCATCAGGGAAAGTATGCTCAATATCCTGTTTGTTTATTCATCAAACATGGGTTTAGTACCTATTATGTGCCAGGTACTGAGCCAAGTGAAGCTTGCAATACCAAGAGATAAGGTCAGGACTTGGTCTTTGCTCCCAGATAATTAGGGCTGAGCAGTGAGGTTAGAGGGAGGGGACAAGAAAATCAGCTCTTACCACACATGGTGTAAGTACTTGGATAATGAGAGTCACAGAGTTCTGTAGGTCATCAGCAGTGAGGGCTTCCAGAAGGGAAGAATTTTTGGTTGAATCATATTAAATAGCCAGTATTCGATGTTCTTGAACTATAGGGGTAGCAATTATGTATGGTTCCATATTTGAGCTGAGGGTTAAGTGGCCAGTAGGAGCCACCCAGTTGGAAAAGCAGGAAATGTTTGGAAATATCTAGGGACATATTTTAGTTCTCATAATGTCTGAAGGTGGGATACTATGAGTATTTAGTGGGTGGGAGGCAGGGATGCCAATCTATTGGAATGCACAGGATAGCCCTGCACAATGAAGAATTGCCCCATCCAAAATGTCAACCACGCCACCAATTTGGCAAACTGGATGAAGTGGAAAGTATGTAAGGAGTGGGGGTGGGGTGGAGTAGTTACAAGTGAAGTGAAATTGTTAACTCAACCAAGTCTAGTGGTTTGAACTTGAACATGGGAACACCAGGGAACTTGTGAAAAAATCCAAGCAAGGGGAAAGGGATGTGGGGAAGAAAATAGAAGTAGATGTAGCAGGGAGAGCAGCACCAAGTAAGGTGAGAAATGGTGGGAATTCAATGAAAACCAGAGTAGAAAGACAGATATATAAATAAATCTTGTTTTTTCCAATTGTATTATATTTTATTTTATTTTTTCAGTGTTCCAAGATTCATTGTTTATGCACCACACCCAGTCCTCCATGCAATACGTGCCCTCCTTAATACCCACCACCAGGCTCACCCAACTGCCCACCACCCTCCCTTCCAAAACCCTCAGTTCGTTTCTCAGAGTCCACAGTCTCTCGTGGTTGATCTCCCCTTCTGATTTCTTTAAAAAAAACCCAAAAAGCAAAAACAGAGAATCATACAAAGACCACCCCCTACCTCGCACCCATCACACAGCTTCAGCCGACAAATGCCATCTTGTTACACCTATAACACCCACCTCATTTCTTCCCATTTATATACCCCCTGAGTGACTTTGAAGCAATTCCCACATACCAAAGTACTCAGTCTATAAATATTTAATTAAAATGCAGGAGCACTTTCATTATCACAGATTTAAATTGATTTAAATTGATTCCCTAATATCACCAAATAACCACTGTTAAAATATCCCTGTTTAAAAAAAAAATCCAGTTTATTTCCCTCCAAGAGTTTTTTTTTTAAATTTATTTATATATATATTTGCAGTTGAATTCGTTTGAATGAAAATCCAGATAAGGTCTAGACATTGCATTTGTTTGCTTTGCTTCTTTTTACTTCTAATGTATGCTTCTTAACCCCTCACCTTTGTGATTTATGTTTTGGAGAAACAAGGACCTGTGTTCTGTAGTTTCTCATCTTCTGGGTCTTGCTGAATTTGCATTTGTATGCTGAGATTTTGCCTGTTCCCTAACTCTGAGTTATAAATAGAGGCTGCGTTGAAGCTCCATTTGAGGAAGGGACATTTTACAAGTGACATTGTGCCACCTTGGCATAAAGTTGCCTAAACTGTTATCAGCAACAGGTATAGAGGGGGAGACTGTGGGCTTGGGCCCAAGTCTTCAAAGAATGTGAAGAATTAAGACCTTCACCTGACAGCTGGGGGGTGGTGTGTATGGGCTAATGACATGCACGTATTTCAAAGAGGGTGATGGGGAAGGGGGGCAGTAGGAATAGAGAAGCTCCATTGTAGAAGCACGGGAAGGCTGTTTTCCATCTGCTTCTGACCTTGTGCTTGTTTTGAGAAGACCCTAGGGGCAGTGATGTTCTTGCCATAGACTCAGGTTTCACGTGAGGGAAGGATCTAGGGGAGGGAAAGATGGAAGGACAGAAAATAGTTGCCAGAAGAGGCCAGAGGGTGACATCATGGAGATGAGTTGGAGGCACCCAAGAGTACTGGAGTGGGAGCACGAGACGTGTGAGAAAGGACAGATGAATGCAAGGGTTTGGGCTGGGGTCCCAGTCATGTCATCAATAATATCTAAGCCTCTGTGCTAGTATCACCTGCTAAGATCGCTGATGTATTATCTCATTTAAACACAAGGTATGTCCTATTTTTGTGTCCATTTTGCAGATAGAGAAACTGAGGGTCAAAGGAATTAAGGAATTTACCCAGTGTCATACAGTCTTGTGAAATACTGTGGAATCAGTTGGTCTCACATTCTGCCCAGACATTAAGGCATAAAGGTGTTTCTGTGTCAGTGAAGAGACATCTGTGGTGTTTGATGCTTCTTCTTCTTCTTCTTCTTTTTTTTTTTTAAGAGTTATTTATTTATTTTGGAGGGCAGAGGGCAAAGGAGAGAGAGAATCTCAAGCAGTGATATGGGACTCGATTTTCCAACCCTGAGATCAAGACCTGAGCCAAAATCAGAAGTCCAATGCTCAATTGCCTGAGTCACTCAGGCACCCGTGCCCTGCCCACCCATCCCCCACCCCCCCAGAATGTGTTTGACAGTTTTTAACGCTGTGATTTTTCTTTCTTATTAGATGGTTCTTTGTCATCATTCCAGCGACTTCCTGGCTTCCACATGGTGGGTGTGATCTCTGGTTCAGAAACTGTGTTTCACTACTTGAAGGAATTCCATTTCCTAGGTCTCCACCCTCAAGGTTCCCTGGGCAGAGTTTGCCCTCACCACCTGCATCTTCCTGCCACTACCACACAACTCAGCTGGGCTCTGGACCTTGTCTGGGCCTGCCTCGGCCTGCCTCATTCCCTCCTTCAGTCTACAAATCAGCTTGACAAAGTTCAGATGTGAAACCTGCCTGCCAGTGAGTCAGCCCAGGTGGCAATGTCAGTGCAGTGAAGAAGTGTTTTCCGCTTTACAACAAAGCGGGGTAAAAATATTGCCTCCTAAAAGCCAAACTAGAAACTTCCAACAACATGGAGTGACCAGGATTGGCTGGGCTGCCCCCTCTCTGAGCGTGGCTGCCTCTCTTCTTGCTCCCTAATCCCATTTTCTGACACCTGCTTTGCTTTAATCTCATGCACATCTCGAATTTCTTGGTTCCTACCTTTTCTTTCAATCCGTCAGTAGGTTTCAATTCTTGGCCCGACCAACCAAAACCTCATGATGGGTCAGCCCCCTTTCTGGCCACCTGATCTAGGTTGGTCTTCCTACTTATTTCATAGCAGTGTATAAATTGTTGGGGCTTCTGTTTTCACATTTCTGAAGTGGGTAATCTGGCGCCTGCCCTATAGGGTTCTTATAAGGATTAAATGAATTTATACTTGGAACCATTCTCAGCACCTCGTAGACACCTACATATTATCATTCCTGGCACTACCTGTAAATATTTATTCATTTATGTACCAGTTAGCTGGTTTCTTGAGCATCTTTTGCTATTGTAATAGATGCTCATTGCTTCACAGATTTCCTACTTGCTCACTTCTGCATCTCCAACACCTAAAACAGTGACTGCCTAAAGGGGATTCTCAATAAATAATTAAGTGAAATTATAATACTAATCAGACATGTGTTCACGGGACATGTGCATATAGACAAAGAATATCTGCAAGAAGAGAAATATATTTATTGTATGATCTTGTGTGATAAAAAATATATATATATATATATATATGCATATTCATAGAAGAAAATGAAAAGAGAAACACCAATCTGACTATTTTTCTTAATTCTAGGCTTTGAAATAAGGGGTAAATTTTGTTTTTTT